ACCCGATTGCTACCGATCCTTGCTTTGATACCAATTGTAAGTCCCGAATTCTCCTACGTATCAATCAGACTCACTTTGATGGTGCGGAATCCAAATCAAAGTGTATAATGCAAGATATAAGACGAATAAGAACAAGATGATTAATCTTCAATTCACACTATTATTGAATAGTCGGGTACATAAGATTCTTGATTATACTTGGATTTCTCTTTGTTTCTCTCTAGATCTCGTTCTAAGCATATGGAAGCCTCCAAAAATGTCCCACCCCCTTTACAAGGCTCAAATGACACTATTTATACCTAGACCTAATAACCAAGCCCAAGCCCAAAACCCAAACAAAACAATATTAAGCCTAACCGAAATCACATGCGATTCCGGTCCAAACAACAGCAAAACATGGTGTTTTCGGTCCTAAACCGAGAACTCTAGTAGCTTATGAAAAGCAAAGTATAAACTACAATTTATGACCTAACACCCATCATGGCCGCCACCTCAGTGCGGAATGCACTCAGACTCTCATCCAACAGCTCCATGATACCCTCCTTGATCGTACCAAAGATCATAGGAGTCTGGTCTACAATGCTGCGCGTGATCTCAGACGAGATGAACTCCCTCATCTGGTCATCTAGTTGCCCGACTCCAGTGCCCAAGCCTAATCCCTCACTGGTGCCTGAAGTGCTGACTGGCCTAGTGTGTAGCGTCACCATACTGAAAACACACTATAACAAACATTAGTATACACATCATAACTCGAGAGATCTCACATACTACAAGTTTCCTAGGTTCGTCTCAACCTTCCTTGATTCGAGTACGGATCCTCTGCTTTCAGTAGTATGGGCCCATACTACCTTCCAAATCTATCTGTACTTTCCTCAAGAACCGCCTTGACTTCACCAAGTCCCTTCTACTACTACTGCTTCACGCGCTAATCTCATCCTAGGCTTGCCCTAGGGTAATCACCATCCCACTCTCCGCATCAGCTGCATAAAAAGTCCCTACTATCTCCCTTTAACTAGCTCGCGAATACCATTACATATCACGAAAACTAGATAATTCTTCGAATGAGAGATCCTACCCTGCAACGGTTGGACTTAAACAAGAGCTGCGAAATAGAGCTAGACCTAACCTTCTGAAATTTTTAGTCCTCGCAATATGTAACTTAACATATTCATTTACTAGCTAGTAAAATATAACTAGAACTCCTAAAAGCACAAAGCAAGCAACATTCAGGCATTGAGTAACATAATCAAGCATATTCCAATCAGGCCATCATATCACTGACTAATTTGTACTAGCATGCAGTTCATAAAGCTGATACACATATAACAGGCACATAAGGCATCCTTCCTAGATCCTTAGTCCTAATCTAGCATGCAGTTCTCATAAGCATATCATAACATAAACTTGTATGGGTAATTTGGGAGTACTTACTTGAGCTCGATTGATTGCATGCACCACACCCTTTTCTCTTTTCAAAATTTGTTTCTCTTTTCAAAGTTCTTTTATAAAAATGATTTTCTTTTGAAAAATTTTATACTAATTCCTTAGTTTGAGTCCAGACACACCCGAGAGTGTGCCCAAATCCCTCAAACCAAGGCTCTGATACCAACTTGTAACATCCCAAAAATACAGCCCAACAATTTCATTTTAATTCATTAATAAAAACCATAAGTATCATTGATCATATAAAAATTCATAAATCGTGTATCTCGAAAATATCATAACATCTTTCAATGTATCAAAATAATATGTCAAAACATCAGAGTGAATCCTCCCAGGCTAAAAGCTGTGGTGTGTGCCATGTAGTCATCCCGAGCTCTTCCCCTTACTAGTGGAAGTACCTAAAACCAAAACTGAAAACTGTAAGCACGAAGCTTAGTGAGTCTCCCCAAACTACCACATACCATACACTTAATCACATAATCGCATATAACATACATTGGGCCCCGCCCTGCTACATCGGGCATTGACCGGCATCGGCTTGTCCGGCATCGGGCCCCGCCCGACACAAGACCGCATCTGGCATCGGGCCCCGCCCGACATCGGGCAAAGCTCGACATACATATGAGCATAACTACTAATACACACAACATAAGCATAACCACCTAACTACAGACATATATCGTTCCTCGGGCCCCGGCCGACATCAGACCGAAATCCGGAATCATACAAACATTCCTCGGGAACCGCCCTGGCATCGAACCATAGTCTGGAAACATACATACATATTCATGCAAGAATCACAAAGACATCAATCATACTAACATTCTTCGGGTACCGTCCCGACATCGGATCGAAATTCGGAAAAAACATATAAACCCACATCGGGCCCCACCCGGCATCGAACCTTAATCCAAAAAATACTACATACATAAACGGGTCGGCCTTGGTGCCTTCGACCCATTCCTACTAGAGGAAAACTCACCTCGTAAGCTAGCTGTGAAATCTCGCGTGAGGAATCTCTGACGGCTGCTCCAACGACTCCCCGACTATCATTATCACAATAACACTTAGTCAAAACCTGATAATCCTTCTTAGGGTAAAATGACCATTTTACCCCTGGTCAAAGTCAACATTCTGGTCAAAGTCAATGTCTTAGGTTGACTCAACTCGCCGAGTTCTATAAATCAAAACCCTGATATCGCGATCCAACTCGTCGAGTCATCCCCCTGACTCGCCGAGTTCCCTGGCTACTCATAGTCGCGATTTGGCGAATCAACTCGTCGAGTCCCTTCACAGACTCGTCGAGTTGTACCTTAAACTGAATTGGGACATAACGACTCAACTCGTCGAGTCCCTCACTGGACTCGCCGAGTTCCTCAGTATGTTTGGCCATCTTAAAGGATTAAGCCCCTACTCTTCAGATCTAAGCTCCATACCTCATCTACATACTGGAAATGCCCTTTTTAAGGGTAAAGTTTCCATCTTTACCCGCTACTAGTCCTTCTTAATAGGTTTAGCTCAGACCCTAGTCCTCTAGAACATAGATCTTGCTCCAAAAGCCATAATACTCCAAACTAAAGCATACTAACATAGATCTAGGCCTTAGACATCATTTGAACACGTAAAGCTCCTAATTTTCCTTTCATGCATGGCTTTTTAGGGCTTAAAATGCCATAATAGCACCTTAGAGCTTGCATAGGGCTCCAATGGCATAAAGTTTGCACCTTTATGCCATAACAACCCTTAATGATTCCATATCTGGAAGGTAGATCACTTGGGACATCCATATCCCAAGGGCTAAGCTTCTTGGACCAAAACCCCATGAAATGGTAAGAAGGACATCTAACAAGCTACTAAGCAAGGTTAAGGCTTGCTTACCTCAAAATGAAGAGGATGAAAAGTTGCTTCTGGATCTACAATCTTCTCCTGGAATACTCTAGCTTCTTCTTCTTCTACAAGCTTCAAATCACACAAAGTTCACTCAAAAATGGCTCACAAGCTCACACAAACGTCTAGGGTTTCGTGGATTAGGGTTTAGGACTTGGAAGCTGGAAATGAGGCCAACAAGTGGGGATTAAGATGATTAAGTAGGGTGCAAAACCCCGAAATTAGGGTTTCATTATAGCAGACCTACTTGCCGAGTCGAGGCTCTCAACTCATCGAGTAGGTGGCTTAAGATCCCGCGTCCAATCTCGTTTCTACTTGACGAGTCTGGGGCTCCCAAATCGTCGAGTATCTCTTCAAAAAATGAATAAATTATAATTAAATGCGTACCAGGAATCAGGCGTTACAGTGGTGGGTGATGGGGCTCAAATGAGGTTCTGGAAGGATGTTTGGCGTTCCGATATTCCTCTTATGGAGAAGTTTGGGAGACTCTTTGCTTTGGCTTCTAATCAAGATGCTCGAGTTAGTGATTATTGGTATCCGGGGGGTTGGAATTTCCATTGGCGTCGGGGGATTAGAGGAGGGGCTGAATTGACCCAATTTGATGATCTTGTGGAGATTTTAAATCCTATCCGTATAGGGGAGGTGTCGGATAAGTGGTGTTGGGAGCTTGATCTGTCGAGTATATTTATTGTTAAATCAGCAAGGAATTGGGTTGATGATATGAGACTCGCTTTGGGTAGTTTGCCTACTAGGTGGAACCGTTTTGTCCCTATTAAAAATAATATTTTTTTTTGTGGCGAGTGCTTTTGGATCGTATCCCGGTTAGAGTTAAATTAGTGGAAAGGGGGTGACGATAGATTCCTTATTATGTCCCGTGTGTCATAATTCTCAAGAAAGTGTGAATCATTTGTTTTTGCAGTGTTCGGTTGTTGGTCAAGATTGGAGTCGGGTTGGGCATTAGCTTGACTTGGTTATTCCTGCCTTTTCTTCTATCCGAGACGTGATGGATTGGGTGGATTCTAGACCGACGAATCGTATATAGCGCTCGATTGTAAAGTCGGTGTTCATGGTGGTCATATGGGTGCTTTGGACGTTTCGTAATGCTTTACTTTTTAGTAATGATAAACTTAGAAAATATAGACTTTTTTATTCAATTGTGGAACTTTTTTTTTGTTGGTTTTCTTTTCGGAATTCTAAGGCTAGGGTCATTTGGATGATGTGTTTACAAAATCCAATCCGGCATTAATTTGTATTTTTCTTTAGCTCCTTGCTAGAGGTTTCAGTTTTTTTTATAATATGATGCTGATGTTTAAAAAAAAAGAAAAAAAATATATTAAAAACTATCAAACAATTGTAATTTCAAGTTGAAGGACTAAAACCACAACAAGAATTGTTAATAAGGACCAAATCTACAAGGTTGGAAAATTTTTGAACCAAATCCAAATAAAATCTCAAACTACATGAACCAATTTTCTAATTTTCACTTTAAAATATTATTTAGATGATTCTTAATCAAATTTTATACAAATTTAAATGATAGATCCATTTTTTATTATTATTAAAAGATTCCAGGAAATAAATTAATTTTGAAAAAGTAAACGAAGTCACATGATTCTATATCGTAGATTCTTCTTATAAGATCCCCATACACACGAGAACTCTACTCTCCACCTTGAATTCCCGCTCCGATCATGGCAGCCTCCGTCTTACCATCTGCATACCAGACGTCGGCATCATCGCCGGACTGGCTAAACAAAGGCGACAACGCATGGCAGATGACCTCCGCCACCCTTGTCGGACTCCAGAGCGTGCCAGGCCTCGTCATCCTCTACGGCAGCATCGTCAAGAAGAAATGGGCGGTGAACTCAGCGTTCATGGCACTCTACGCCTTCTCCGCCGTCGTCATCTGTTGGGTTACTTGGGCCTACAAGATGTCCTTTGGAGAGAAGCTCCTCCCTTTCTGGGGCAAAGCCGGCCCGGCGCTCGGCCAGAAGTTCCTTATTAAACAAGCCGCCTTGCCGGCCTCCACCCAGTACCACTTCAACGGCGAGGTATGTTTATATTGATCACTCTACCCTTTCTCCAACGTAAAGAAACGCACTTTTCGTTTTGATGGAATGGGTGTGTAGGTGGAGACGGCGATGATAACACCATTTTATCCGATGGCTTCTATGGTGTGGTTTCAATGTGTGTTTGCGGCAATAGCGGTGATCTTATTGGCAGGATCGTTGCTCGGAAGGATGAATATCAGAGCATGGATGGCGTTTGTGCCTTTATGGCTGACTTTCTCTTACACGGTGGGGGCTTTCAGCTTATGGGGCGGCGGTTTCTTGTTTCACTGGGGTGTCATGGATTATTCCGGTGGCTATGTCATTCATCTCTCTTCTGGGGTTGCTGGTTTTACAGCCGCTTACTGGGTTAGTACTCTTTTCGACTATTTCTAAAACCAAATTATAATAAAAATTATATAACGAAATGTAGAATTTAACCAAATAAAATGTGAAATTTCACGATAGCATCTACCCTACTTAACGTTCATGACTCGGTTTATATAAAACATTTTGAATCTTATGTGTTTTCTGTATTTAAAACACAAGATGTGGTATTACAATGTTTGTAAATTTGATCTCCCATTACCAATTATCGTATTTTTATATTAGAATTAATATATCTTTTTTTAGTAATTATATTACCGGACAGGCCCGTTCATAATAGAATCAAATTATGTAAACCTACTATTTAATCTCGGTTGATGAAATTATACAAGATTAGTGATCATATGTACAAAATAATAACTTTAGAACCATTCGTAACATTTTAAACTGTATTTAATCTTTGTAACTATTTTTTTAAAATACGTTTTACTCAAATAACCTGTTTTTCTATTTTGAACTTCTATAATTGTTATTTTTTGGTAGATTAGATACTATAAAAACTAGAGTTTGGTAAACTAGCTGATCAGTTACATCAATATAATTTAATTGGTTCAAATAGAATAATAATTTGTTACAAATTATTTAGATTCATATTTTAAATACTAAAATCAAACTTAATTCGCTTGATCCGATCAGTTTAAACTTTAAACCCATCCATCAAAACAAACATGCCTACGTGGGATGCGTGATGTGACATTGAAACGGGTTTAGGATAAAATAAATAAACAAACGTTCCATGCCATGTTGGTCCTGTTGCGGTGTGCTGTGTGCAGTCTTAAATTCAAAACCAACTTAAATATTTCCTCTTTGAATTAATCTATGCATTTATCTTTCAATTTGATATCAACAAGTTTGGCAAACAATGTATGAACCGATAGAAATTTGAAACAATATTATATAAATTAGCAATTAGTATATTTCTATATACAGTTTGACAAAAATAGGTTAATTTCATTAAACGGCTAACAAACTATTTGTTCTCTTAAAAAGCATATTTTAAAAGAATGTGTATTTGTCTTTATTCACAAACTATATCAAAAACCATTAAACAATAATATTTTGTGGACACAAAGCTTTAATTGTTACCTTATAAATCCTCGATCCTATTCATGGATATAAGTACCTTTAATTTCATTCTGCTTTTTTCAAAAATAAAATAGGCTTATAAACTAGTTTATTATAATTTGTTGTACGGTAAAACTATAAAAAAATAAAAAAAATTATAAACTAACTTATAAACTATATTTTTTATAAATTATTTTGAAATAGTTTTTAAAAAAGGTATAGAGCTTTTTTTTAATATTCTTTCCTAATCATATTTAATGTTAGTTTTTACTTATATATCTAAATATTGGTTTTATGTCATTTTATATTTACAATATTGTTTATCGGTTATCTTTTACAAAATAATATTAATTTATAAACTAGTTTATCAGCTGCTAGTTAAATTTTTAACCTGTTAAATCTAAACAAACTTTTTATTTTGTTAACTCAAATTTTTAATATTTTGTGCAAGTTGTAAATTGGAATTGAAATTGACAGATTCTGTCGTTAACAGCTATTACACGTTTTGGTGATAATTTACTCTTCTTTTATTATCCGACGTTTAGCCATATGCTTACCAATTAAATAGTCATCTTAAATTTATCTCAAATCGATCATATCTCTTATTAAATAAGAAAAGAAAAGAATGCTCTCATTTGGTTGACTTCTTGCTTGATGCGTATCTCAGAAGTTTTTGTCTCGTTATGCATGGTTCAAGAAATTAAAGTTATGTTAAATAATGTTGATTTAGAGAAAAATACTACAGGAAAAATAAACATCGGTTTTTGATTAAATTATTGTAAATGGTTATTCTAATCTCTTGACTGAAATTAACGATGATTAAAAAAAATTCGGCTTGTTTAATATTTGTTTTGAATACAGATTTTGACATATTTAAATGTTGAATAATTGTTTGAAAAAACAGAAACTCTGTTTAATACATTACGTAAAAGTTGGACCATTTTAAGCATAACGTGTTTATAACATATTTAATATATTATGATTTTTTATGAATTTGAAAAAATCAGAAAAAAGAGTTGACTTAATAAATTATACATAACCGTAAATATTCTAAAATTGTAAAAAGTTATAATCAAAAAAATATATATATATTTTGTCTGCAGGTGGGGCCACGATTAACCATAGACAGAGAAAGATTTCCACCAAACAACGTCCTAATGACGTTGGCCGGAGCAGGGCTGCTTTGGATGGGTTGGGCAGGTTTCAACGGCGGAGACCCATACAGCGCCAACATCGACTCCTCCATGGCCGTCCTCAACACCAACATCTGCGCCGCCACCAGCCTCCTCGTCTGGACCTGGCTCGACGTCATCTTCTTCGGAAAACCCTCCGTTATCGGAGCTGTCCAAGGCATGATCACCGGACTTGTGTGCATCACCCCAGGAGCCGGTCTCGTTCAAGGCTGGGCCGCCATCATAATGGGTATTCTCTCCGGCAGTATCCCATGGTTCACGATGATGGTGGTTCACAAGAGATGGACTTTACTCCAACAAGTCGACGACACCCTCGGTGTCTTTCACACTCACGCGGTGGCCGGATACCTTGGCGGAATACTCACCGGACTCTTCGCAGAGCCCACCCTATGCTCACTTTTCCTTCCCGTTACTAACTCAAGGGGCGGCATTTATGGCGGTTCAGGCGGCACGCAGATACTGAAGCAGATAGTTGGTGGCGCGTTTATCATTGGGTGGAACATAGTGTCGACGTCGATAATCTGTGTAGTTATTGGTTTGGTGATTCCTTTGCGGATGTCCGACGAACAGCTGTTGATCGGAGATGATGCTGTTCACGGTGAGGAGGCGTATGCATTGTGGGGAGATGGAGAGAAGTATGATGGGACAAAGCATGGGTTTTATTCCGATGACACTTCACACCATCGGCCAGTTAGTGGTGCTACTCAAGTGCTTTGAAACCTCGAGGAAATATTATATACAGATATACAATTGTTGTAAGTTGTAGCACGTAGTTCCTTGACATGCATGGTCTCTCTCATGTGTATGTTTGGGCGTGTGATTGAGAGAGTCCTCATTTATTTTAGACTAAATTACAAAAATGGTCTTAACGTTTATCCTTTTTTAATTTTTGATTTGATATGTAACCTTTTCTTTTTGTTATTAATTTTGTTAAACAAAAAAGTTTTATAAAAATGGGTGGAAGCTTTCTTGTCAATAGACAATCGTAATTCGTGAACTCGTTTGTATGTTAATTATGACATAAAGAAGTTACATTAAACTTTCATAGCTATAGTTAAGTTTATTCTTAACGCACAATATTCATAGAATTACTAGTCAATGTTCTCATCAAACAAATATTTGTTCTCAAGATGCTCTTTCCTTGCAGGTATATATTGACGTTATGCTCGCTCCCCGTATAAACTTCAACCATACACATTGAATTTATAATTTCTAGAGCCGTTTGTAATATGGTTTAGGGTCAAAACCGTAAATTGTGCTTCATAAGACGGTTTATGAAAATTACAAATCGCATCACAAAAGTTCTAAATTTTTTTATATAGTGAGGTGCGTGGTTTGTACTCTTTTCATAAACATGCTTATATTGATTCTAATTTGTCTCATTAATAAAATTAAACAATATACTTACAGAAAAATTAATTGTAATATCTTCCAATGGCACGTACCATAATAATATCCATTTTCGGCATCCCGACACGGAAACCTCCAAGGGGCGCCACCCAACCTAAATTTTATTTCGCTAGGACACACTACGCTGCAGAGTTCTTATGTGATATGTTGCTCCAATTACTTTAAAATATGTGTTGAGGAATGTATCAACACACCTTATAAGACGATGGTTAGTTCTCTTTCTTAGTCAATTAATGTGGGGTACTATTTTGTGTTGTTTTAAGGTGGGTGGTTACCTATACCTAATCCCACATCAATTATGAAGAAAAACTAAGCATCGTCTTAAAAGGGGTATTGATACATTCTCTATCACAAACTGTTTTAAAGCCATGAGAGTAGCAGATCTCATAAGAACATGTAGTTAATCATGGCTAGGTGATAGTAATTTAGGAACGATGAGCCTTTGGGAAGTTTCGTTTTGGGTGGTCAAAAACGGACAATATTATAATATGTGCCTTTTGGATGTTATAATTAGTATAAGAGTTAGGGAACGAGTCGACTATCTTATATTTTAAACCTGTTAAACACACAATCCGACAATTAGTATTAGTTGTGAACTAATAATGCATCATTAGTAATATCAAACACAAATAAGCTGACAAATAATATTGAGAATTCTATGTTAAATCGTCATAAATAATAAATCAATTTTTTTTTAATTATCTAGTTTTGTCCAAAACTATAATTGATCATTTGTGATCAAATTTGATTATAAGAAAGGTAGAAGAAAATTCTCATGTTATCGAAGAATTCAAAAATAAGACTGAAAATGTAAAACCAACATGAAGATCGTAGGTTTTTTACTTGTAAAAATGCATGAAATAACTAGTGTCCTAAAAGGTTTTTACATCACTCAGTTGTTGTAAGCTTCGGCATAAAACATGTACTTAAGCAAGACTAGGTGATAGTAATTTAGTATCGGGGACCTTTGGGAAGTTTTCATTTCGGGTGGCCCAAAACAGACAATATTATGATATGTACCTTTTGGATGTTATAATTAGTATAAGAGCTAGTGTAATGTCCCAAAATTCATAGTAAAATTTTCATTTTTAAAAACAGTAATTCAAACAAAAGAGTTCATCCAAAATTGATTACAATGAGAATATTATTTAAACATCAGAGTAAAGATCATAATTTGTCAATGCGAAAAACTCTGGGGGATGCTATGCCGTCACGCCGGGCCCTTCCTTTTCGTACCCGAAGTACCTGAAACCATAAACATAAAATCGTAAGCACAAAGCTTAGTGAGTTCCCCAAAATACCGTATACCATACATATATGTCAGCTTAAGGCTGTATTGGGTCTATTTCACCCCCAATTCTATTTCAACTCATATGTCAGTATAAAATTGTACCGGGTCTAATTCACCCCCGAGTCTATTTCAACTCAATCGGTATTTTTCAACCGTACAGGTCTATTTTACCCCACATACATGCAGCAAACATGCATACATATATACAGTACGAGTCACAAAGACAACAAGTACATCCAATCCAAATATCATATAGTATAATGAGGAAACTCACCTAAATCACAAATCCGACTAACATTCAGCTCAAAACTGTGTCGACTATAGCTAACTACTCTCCTGCCAAATGATGGATGCTCAACACCTCCTATCGATCTACACAAGGTAAACCCTAAGTCTACCTTCTAAAAATAAAATTTGACTACAAGTAGACCCAAGCCAAAAGTCAACGGTCAAAGTCAAAGTCAACAGCCTAAAATGTCAACCATCCATCCTCACGTCGTGACCAGCCCTTGGCCATGTCGTGAGAGCTCACTCGGTCTGATCCTAACTCATCACGACTTAATGTAGCCAACTCAGTCAGGGAGTGACACCTGAGCTGACCTCACGATGTGGGCAACCTTTCCTCACGTCGTGAGCCCCAAGAAGCTCATCAGAAATGGGATCAACCACTCCTCACGTTGTGAGACCTTATGTCTCACGTCGTGAGAATAGTATGTGGCCAAAAATCCAAAATTTAAGTCATTAATCCATTAAGCCTTGAACTCTAACTTTCGATAAGGTCTTATAACTCCTTAATACACTTGAAAGTCGGAGCTTTTAAGACATACATGTCCAATATATGTCTAGATCTCATTTAGGTCAAAAGTTGAAGAAAAGACATCCAACTTTCATGCAAGGTTCCAAAACCCAACCATTAACTAGATCTGAACTCCATAACACTCTTAAGGCCTTTATAACCCATAAAGTTGCCAACTTTATGGTTTCCATTCATTCAAACTTGCACACCCAAGAAGAAAAGTCGTACAAAACTTAGATTTGGCCTCATATAACAATAAAGGTGGAAGCTTTGACACTTACAATGGTCCAAGAACAATGTAAGGTGATGCTGATGATGATTCCTTGCAAGCCTCTACAAAAAACCACCTTCTTCTTCTTCTTTTCTTCTTCTTCAAACCAAGAAAGGCTCCAAAATGACCAAGGATCAAGCAAAAGATGAATGGTAGGGTTTCTGAGGTAAAAGAGGGTTTTGAGGCTGATAAGAAACCCTAAAATGAGTTTAGAGGTGCTTAAATACAAAGGAAACCCTAAAAGATTATGGGCTTGGGCTGCATCAGCTCTCACGTCGTGAGACCAGTCCCAAAAAAAAGTTTTCATCTTGGCCCATCTCACATTGTGAGCCTCTATATCTCACGTCGTAAGACTCTATTTCTTCCAGAATCCAACCTTTTAACTCCTTGAAACCCTAATTCGATCCTTCCAGGAAAACGGGTGTTACAGCTCTCCCCCACTTAAATTAGATTTCGTCTTCAAAATTACTTCTCACTACATTCCAGGCACCCCAGACGATTCTAAAAATTCTTCCAGAACCCCGATTAAAGTAGACTCTAAGATACGCTGACCTTGCAATATATTAATCGAACCCAACCTTAACAGGACCCATATACTGACGACGATCGAATCCTTGCCCCGCTAACCTTAACCAATGAAGAATAACCATCACTGCTCAGCTCAAGATCCAGAAATCCAATACCTTGTCTGACTTCCCGACATACAAAACCAATATGAATTACTGCCAATACAACTCCACTTTGCAACCCAAACTGAACGAAAACCCTGCTGACCTTGAATTATCTTGTTGATTCTACTGGGAAACAGAATCCATGACCATTCATTGTTGCCAGAAACCTTTTCATTTGGAAACAAAGGCCACTCCCAACACGAGTCTCAATCATTGGTACCATCTCAAGATCATCTTGTTGTCCCATAATCACATTTCTGATCTAACTGAGACCTCCCTGGCCTCACACTTACCTACCAATTAATCGATGTACTAGATATCCAACCGGTTGCTGAGGCTGATAGCCTCACACAATCGTACCACACGAATCCTAAACAAGGGTCTATTTGGAAAAAGTTGTCCTAGCTTGCTTTCCATAATGGTTCCAACAACCCTCCTAATCCAACTAATGGATAACATAACCAACCATTACATCAATGCAATAAAAACCACCTTGCTATAAACGAATGCTACATGCCCAGTTGTAATCTTATGTCACCACCGGCCTCACACAGCCCACAACCTTCCTTTATTCCACGAATAATGTGGC